GGGAGAGCAGGCATCTCTCCTTTTCAGACCACGTAGTGTTGATCCTCCCTGATGTGCTCCACAGTGGCTGGTCAGAGAGGACCTAACCCCGCCCTGTACTGTCTGGTAGAGCCCCAATTTTGGGTTCTTCCCCAAAAGAAGGGTGGCTGGAGCGCAGGAGCAGCCCTGGGGAGACTGTGGAACAGCTGCTGCCCGTTCATGGTCTTGTGGCACCATCCAGTGGCTGCTGGCAGAGGATTCTCACTTCCCTGGTCACCATGTGCCCCCTGGCAGCCCAGGGCCCTGGGGACCCAGGTGGTCCCCACAGCATCTACAGCCACCAGCGCTGGTGGCTCTTGGTCCTCCAGGGAGGAGATCACCAGGTCACTGCTGTCAACTGCAAACTGGAGAGGAGCACAGAGAGGGTGAAGGGGAGCAGCGTGGCCAGACCCACACCCCACATCTGCCCTCCCACTACAAATCAACAGGGATTTATTCTTTATTCTCCATCCAGCTGATGCACAAATTAGCTCAAAGAAGGTCAAACATGGTTGCATCAGGACATCATGACATCACACAGGAGACCCTTGCTCTACTTCCATGGCTCACAAGTTGTCCTGTAAACTTCATGTTTCGCTTTTATTTTTTTTTTTTACTTTGCCAGATGAAGGTGTAGAATTTCATCATCATTGCAATAAGAAAAAAAAAAAATCTTCTCAGTATCTGTGCCATGCCTTCCATGGGTAAAAAATTTTTAATTTTTTTTCTAAAAAAGCAATTTGATTCTGACACTGCCACCACTTTAATTACATCAGCTCTCCATCATAAATTGAGGTTATGTTTAAGTCTCGTTTTAGTAATTTAATAATTTCACCTTTGCATCACTCCAATTATCTCTGGATTTGTTCCAGAGACCTTTTCTCAATTCAATTCCTTTGTGCTTACTGTTTTGCTCTCAATTCCATGAATACTGGTTGGGGTTTGGGTTTTTTTGTTTGTATTGGGTTCCCCCCCCCCCCAAAGAATGTGAAGAGGTGAAGGGACAAACATTAGGGGAAGGACAAACATCTGTAACTGGATGAAGGGCCCAAAGGCCAAATCTCTGCTGCTGGAAGTTTGAACTCCCTGTGCATAGACTAAGCCCAGTGACATTGCTGATGGGCATCAGCTGAGAAGAGGGTCTGACATGATTATATATTAAAAATTATATCAGACAACACCCCTGTGGCCACCTGCATGAGATACCTGGAGGTTCTTGGCAGGATGGCTGGTTTTGGGAAATGCCAAGCTCAGGGCTGGGAAGAGTTTCACCTGGCTGGTTGGTCTCAGTGTCTCTGCATCCAGGCATCTCTCCAAGAGCCTCACCATCCTGGATAGGGCTGTCCCTGTGCAGGTGTCCTGGTTTTAGCTGGGCCAGGGCTGGGTTTCTTTTTAGTAGCTAGAACAGTACTAGGGTTTGGGTTCAGCTGGGATTTGTTAGGAGAAGAACACTGATAACATACTGATGTTTTCAATTGCTGCTGGAAGTCAAAGGACTTTGCATTTTGCTAAGTCTGCAAGTGCAAGATCTAAGGGGGCAATGAGGAATATTGAAATGAATCAGCTCAGTTGGCATTGGGCTCTGCCAATGGGCTGTTCCATCTCCTGTCCCCCATGGGCAGGACATTCATGAGGGGCTCTTCCTCTCTCGCTCTCTCTGGCTTTCACTCAGGCTCTCACTCTCCCGGGATTGCGGTTTCGGTTCGGGATTGTCACTCCTCCGGGATCGTTATCTGGGAACGGGCCGGGCTTGGTCGGTAGGTGGTGAGCAATGGCACTGGGTATCACTCAACTGCATATTCTATTACTATTATTATCATTATTCTTTTAATATAATTATTATTTAATTTTTATCTTATTTCAATGATTAAATTGTTCTTATCTCACCCTACGAGTCAGGGACACATCAAAGCCACATGCAAAGAGTACCTGCTGCTGGCTGCAGTTCGTGCAGAGGCAAGAGGTGCCTCCCTCTGAGAGTCTCAGGAACAGTCAGGGTCCCTTGGGGTTCCCTGCATCCTGTAGACATTCTGATGCAAAAAAACAGCAACAGGATTTATTGCGCCCAAGGAAAATACCTTGACAGGGTCAGGCACTAGCGTTGCAGATGGTTAAAGCCACCAGTGCCCTGTTGCCTGGCTGGGTATGGAGCATGGTGGGGTAAGATTTGTCCCACTTCAACCCCAGGAAGAAGATGACACAACAGCACCGATGGAGCTAACCAGGACTGTACCCACCACCTTGCTGACCCACAGTGGTTGCTACAAGAACAGGAGGTACCTGAATCAGCTGTTTCCTTCAGGGAGTCCAGGTCTGACCCATTGGAGTCAGTCTCATTCCCCAGCACCACTTCAGAGACCACCAGCTCTTGCTGAGGGCTGAGCTTCACAGGGGACAGGATGGGTTTCTTCTCTCTCAGCAGCTCTTCTGGGCTGGTGCACAGAGAGATGGGTCAGGGTGGGACTGCTCTGGTATCCCTCTTCCCCACTCCTGAAGCAGATGCAGGGAAGTCCTGCAATGAGAGCATGCCCTCAGCAGGGCTGCCCATGGAGAAACCCTACATTCCCCACGGACATGGACAGGTCCATCACACCCATGGACTGGAAACACCTTGCTGATAGCACCTCCAACAAATACTCACACCACTACCTTGCCTGTGCTTGGTACTGCTTTGCTCGAGTTTAAAACCTAGATCTGGCTTTCTCTTGCTCCTGGAGCAAACAAAAAACTCGTTTTCCTTACCTGCTCTTGACTACAGATAAGCTCCTCTTCCTCTGCTGACATCTCAAACCCTCTCCATGTTATTTCTTTGAATGGTCTGCAGAGTTTCTCCAAGCTTTTATTTTACACCTTTACTACTTTTGCTCCAAAACCCCAAGAGAACTCCTTCTTCCCCTCAAAGGGGTTCTGGGAGGCAAAGAAGGAGCTGAACACCAGTGGGAAATGCCCTGTGTCTCCAGCACCACATGGTGGGGTAGAAGCTCTCAGGTCTGACTTTGCTGAGTTGTTTGAGTCAGCCCACACAGGCAGGAAGACCCCAGGAAATGCCATTTCCAAACAAACCTCTCTGAGACACCACATCACCCACCACTTCGAAGTTTCCGAAGGTGCTGGTGTTTGGGCAGCACCCAGCATACCTGGGGCCAGGTTGTGGCTGAAGGTCCCAGGCACTGCCCACCTGCCTGGAGACCAAAAGGAGGTGATGGGACTCACCTCCGCCATGGAACAGGTGCTCGGGTGGGGCTGCTGGCTTTGGAGGTCCTAAGGGTGCTCCAAGGAGTCCTTGGGTGACTGCAGGTGGAGTGGGCTCTGCTCTGAGGAGCAGGCTGGGGGGTCACCGAGGCTTTAGGCTCTACTACAGCTGGTATCACCATGGACTGTGACCCACAAAGGGACCTGGGTCTCTTCAGGCTTTGAGCTAGGAGGCAATATTGAGAGCAAGGAGAATCACCACCCACCTCCTGGTAGTCCTGGGACCTGCCCTTGTGGGAGCCATGCAGCCCACCTGGGCTGGAGTGGGGTGGGTGTAGGAAAAAGGGATTTGCAAGCACAACCAAACCTGTCTCTCACTCTGCTGGGGCTTTTGGGGACAGCTGAGATTTTTTTAAATGCCCTTTCCTGCCTTTTCTCCATCTTGTTGTCCCACTGGATAAGGGGACAGCATCCCATGGCCACTGGTTCCCACAGCTGGTATCGAGACAGGACAGGAGTACACTTCACCTGGGATGATGGAGAGCTGTCGATGAAAGGCACTGCTGGGCTTCTTGCATCGCCTGATTTTCTCCATCACTGCTCGGATCAACTCGTCCCTCAGGCACAGGAGAACAGGAAATTTCTCAGCCTTCTGTTGCTGCTGAAGCCTGACCAAAGCATGGAGGCTTTTGTAGGTCCGAGTGGAGATCCCCTTCACAACCTAAAGCAGAGGGTGGCTGAGAAGCCTGATGTTGTTCTCCCATGGTGCTGGATGGTGAAACTGTCCTATATATCAAGAGCATCCTGCAAGCTTCAGACCCTGTCCAAAGCCCAGTAAAGCTCTCACCAGCCCCGACACCCATTGTCTCCCCATGATATCCCATGCAAACAGCCCACAATGAAGCTTCACTCATCATTTGCAAAGCCCTCATCTGCTTTGGTAAATGACTGCTGATGAGCAAAGCTAAGCTATTTTGGGGAATTTTTAGGCTACAGGGGAAGTACAGCATTTTCTCTAAGGAGGTATTTACAACTCGAGCAGGTTTTGCCACCATGAGTGTCCTGGGCTTGTAGAGTTGCAAAGTGATGAGAAGCGAAGGGTGAAGAGAGGTGTATGCCTGTGGGCCTGGCTTTGGGCACCTCTGCTGCTTGTGGTACCACCTCGATGTTCCCAAATAACATACCAGGGAAAACAGGGACATGCCAAGGCTCCAGCCTATGTGAAATGAACCCAAGACTGCTCCTGTCAGCAGTGTGCTCAGGCGGCCAAGAAGGCCAACAGCATTCTGGCTTGTATTAGAAACAGTGTGGCCAGCAGGACCAGGGAAGTTCTCTTTCCCCCTGTCCTGGGCACTGGTGAGGCTGCACCTCGAGTGCTGGGTTCAGTGTTGGGCCCCTCACTCCAAGAAGGACATGGAGGTGCTGGAGCGTGTCCAGAGAAGGGCAACGGAGCTGGGGAAGGGGCTGGAGCACAAGTGTGATGAGTTCATGGCTGAGGGAACTGGGGTTGTTGATCCTGGAGAAAAGGAGGCTGAGGGGAGACATTCTGGCTCTCTCCAAATCCCTGAAAGGAGGGTGTAGAGAGGTGGGGGTGGGTGTGTTCAGCCAAGGAACAAGTGACAGGACAAGAGGAAATGGCCTCAAGTTGTGCCAAGGGAGGTTCAGATGGGATGTCAGGAAAAAATTCTTCATTTAAAAGGTAGTCAGGCATTGGAAGGGGTTGCCCAGGGCAGTGGTGGAGTCCCCATCCCTGGGAGGGATTTAAAAGACGGGCAGACGAGGTGCTCAGAGATATAGTTTAGTAGTGGACAGGTACGGTTGGAGTCGATGATCTCAAAGGTCTTTTCCAACCAAACAGTTCTATGATTCTATGATTCTTATATGCACCTTCAGGAAACAACCACTGAAGAAGCCATTCACTCACTGCTTTCTCTTTATGCCTTTGGGACCTGAAACAGAAACACCACCTTGCTCAGGAATGTGGGTGGACGGAGCAAGGTGGCTCTCCAGCAGCTGTGCCCACTGCCTGCCTGCTCACTGCCCTTGCAGCAGCTCTGCAAGGTGCTAGGTGGTGGTGTTGCATTGCCAGGAGCTCAGGAAGACTTGTTGGAGGTACTATTTAATATGCTTGGCATGAAAAGGACTTGGACAGTGAAAGTCCCCTTGAAATCCCTGTGACAGGGGCTGTTGTGCCCTCAAACAACCTCCTGTCACAGAATCACAGAATGTCAGGAATTGGAAAGGACCTTGAAAGATCATCTAGTCCAACCCCCCTGCCAAAGCAGGATCACCTACAGTAGGTCACACAGGAAAGTGTCCAGGCAGGTTTTGAATATCTGCAGAGAAGGAGACTCCACAACTTCTCTGGGCAGCCTGTCCCAGTGGCCTGTCATTCTCATGGTGAAAAAGTTTTTCCTCCTGTCCTAGAAGAGAGGGAGCCCTGGCTAATTTAGCGTATGATAGGCTGCTTCTGAGGAAGATTTGCTGGAGAGATACTAATAACCAACCTCAGCGATGGGAGCACAGCGGTTTATTCCATGTGCTGCTGTGTGATTCTGCCTCCACCTCCCATTTGCCTCCCAGAGGATGATGGCTCCAGGTGGGGAATTTTTTTTTTACTGCCTGTTTCAGTTGTTCTCCCCTCACTTTGTGTCCCTGCACTGGCTCAGGGCTGGCATTGCAAATGCTGGCACTGAAAGGGCAGACTTACCCTCTTGACTCCCATGCTCTCCAGTTTTTCCATCAGCACTTCCTCCAGGATGGGGCGAAACTGCTTCAGGAGGTTTGGGTTTCTCTGCAGGGCTTCCAACAACCTCTGCTTCCCACCCAGGGCAGCCTCCTCCCTGCCTGGAGTAAAGGTGGCTGCTGGTACCAACACAGTGACACACCATCTGCACCCTGGGGAGTGGACTGGTGGGTCCCTCCTCCTCTTTGGGGACATGGGTGCCACCAGTCTCAGAGCAAGCAACTGGTTGCTCTCAGCAAACTACATCTTTCTACAAAGGGGCAACTTCCTCCTCTGATTTGATTAATTCTTGCCCACAACTTTTCCAAAATCCCACCCACAGCCCAGCAGCTGCCTGGGACAGCTTTCCCAGGAGAAGCATTGTCAGCAGGGCTGGTCATGGTGCTGTCATGCCCTGCACAGCTGAGAGAGGACACAGAGAACTCATCCCCTATGCCCCCAACCCACCACCTCATCACCACCAGCTTTGCCCAGCACCCCTACAGCCTCATTGCACAACACCCCAGCCAAACACCAGCTTCACCCTGGTGCCCTCAAGATAGGAATGGTCCCAACTCTGGTACCCACCTGATGACCCTTCATCAGCCACCACTTTGGTCACCTCCCAGGTCACTGCAGGGAAGAAAGGAGCCTGTGAGGGTCAAAGAGGAGCCAAGGCCCCAGCAAGAAGCAAGCACTTATCACCAACTGGTTTTCCTAGACAGACAGTATGGACACATCTGTCCCTTTGGGGATGCGAGGCTGGCCCAGGTCTGACACCAGCCCTTGGAGAACATCCTCGAGGGAAACCCCAAGGCACTTGCCCACCAAGGCAACAGGCTGGAGGATGTCAGTGGGCAAACAGCCCTCTGCTACCCCTCAGGGCTGGGCTCAGTGATGCACCCCTTGGGTATTTGCTAATAGTCATCTCTGGTTTATGGCCTTTTTTGTTTCCTGAGCAGCAGCTCCTGGCTGTGCCGAAGGCATTAGGGAGCTGAGAAGTCCCCAGTTTATCTCCCTAATACTTAATTGAAGAAAACCCAGACCGTAAAGAAGAAACCACAGCGTTCCTTATTTTTATGCAAATAACAACTTGGCATCATTTTGGAGGAAGCAAGGTCACCTGTTTGCTGTCGGCACTTGATTGAAATCTCACTCCTTTGGTGCATGGCTGCAACACAAAACCCACCCAAGGGACAAGTTAGTTTTGTGCCGGTGACCAGAGCTGGGGTCTGTGCTGTTGCAGCAGATAGCCAAGGGACTGGAAGGTGTCCACCCCATGACTTCACGTGAGAGGGCATACAGCCAGCTCCCTGGAGAGGACTCCATGGCACGCTTTCGTAGAAGGAGACAGAGAAGACATTGTGGTCTGAAGGGCTTTAGCTATGAAAAATTTATCTAGACACAAACTGATTCATTTAAAAAATGCAAACATTACCTTCAGGTTTGCTTGCAGAGAGCATCTTGATCTGTAAAGAAACAGACTGGGCAACATTCAAAGATAATTTCTTTGTCTATAATTTTGGGTAATTTTTCCCCTCTCTGCAGAGTATTATTATGAAATGTGTTCAAAAAAGGAGCAGAAAATAGCAAGAGCCTAAAGTGGACACATACACGTCCCAAGAGCTATTTCCCTTAAGTAGTCCATACCTGGAAGGGGTCAGCTTAGGGGATTTTCTTTCCATAGTATGATCACTAGCACATCAGATCCCACCCTGCTGTACCCCACAAGCTACTCATGGATCTGATAACAAGTAAAAGATGCTTCAAATTGTAATGCAAAATGTTACTCTGGTGATCTACATCCCAGTGGGCATGGTTTGTGCTGAGGACATTCATGTAATGCTTCGTGTTTAATGAGCGCAAACAAGAGCCGAACACAGCAAAGCGTTAGAGAATGGGCTTGAAATTAGTCTAAGTCTTAATTCAGCAAATATTTTAAGGCTGCTTAGAGTTAAATATCTGCTTAAATGCTCTTAATGAACCAAGGCTGCCTTTCTGCCCCACTTTTTTAAATTTTTTTTTTTTAATTTCACTTACCTTCTTCTCCTGGGACTTTGTGACCTTGGGCTGTGCCCTGAGATGGGTTCTGAGGGCATCAATCTGCTGATGGACACTGTCCATAACTGCCTGCTGGTTCTGGAATGGGATAGTACAGAGTGTCTTGTTCTCTTTCTTCAGTTGAAAAGGGCAAGAAAGGAATAAGAAGACCTGACCATGGTAAAAATGGGTTTGGAGTCACCTGTTCCCTTCACCAGCAAGGGCAGCTCTCTGGATTTTTATTCATTATTGAGATGTCCTCCAAAGGGCAGATCTACCACTGCAGAAGATATATAGCCAGACTGAAAGCCTGCTGGTGGCAAGCTCGTGTTGTCTCATCAGCCGTGACAGGA